GGGGGGGGCGGGGGCTGGGGGTTGGCTCCCACTGTGGGGGGCCGGGGGGGGGGAGGCGGGTCCATGTACAGTGATGTCAGCACCGGTTTGACCTGGAGGTCTGGCACTGCCAGTTCAGTTTCATACCCCAAACAGATGCCCTTGTCTCAGGTGTAAGAGCCGGAGTTGGGGGAGGAAGGGGTGCAGCCCATCTCTCCTTGAGAAGGAACTTCAGGCCTCCCTAGGACAGGGCTACTGCTAGAGGCTTCCAAGTGCCAGCCCATCGTCCTCAGCCTCTTCCTCTAACTCCTTCTCAGTCAGTCCTTCCCTTATCAAGAAGCTGCATGTTTCTGTGTTGTTGGTACAGGAAGTTTCTCAAGACAAGAATTGCCTTACATGTCTTCAACCAGCACGAGACCTTTTGCCCAGTAGGGCCTCTCTGCTCTTTCTCCGTCCATCAAATCTTGATACAACATCAAGGAACGTCTCTCTAATTGAACTGCAGGGGTGGAGGAGGCTCTAAAGAATTTCCTTTTTTAACCATGCCAACAACAACAAAAACTGGCAGATGCCTTAAAATCATGTGCTCAAATCATGTCTTAATTGTACACCCCAAGTAAATACGGGTTTCTTATGTTAAAGGATGTATTTATATAATTATTTGGTACCTTGTACAAAATGTGTAAAATATGTATATATTCCAAATGCTATACAGTCTGTAAATTTCTTTTGTTTAAAGAAAAAGTTTAGAGGCTTACCACCACTGCTCCCACCTAAGAGCAAAAATTTGAGTATTCTATTTTGTCAATAAAATAATGTTAAATGATTTGTTTGGGAGGGGGATGCCCCCTCTTTGCTGTCCTAGTTATTCCTGCTTCTTGACTTCTGAGGAATACTGAGGCTTGAATGTTCCCTCAGAGCACTGTTCAAATAAAAACAGTGACAGATTTCAGTACAGTCAATAGAGAGGCACTTTCAGAAGTTGATCGTCAGAGTCTCTGAGATTCATGAGCCGGATGACTCCAGCTATCAACATTCTTGGCTTGTTGTCATGTTGGCTTCAAAAGATGGTTGTTGGAAACTAAAAATACAGTGTCAAGAATTCTTGGTCCCCTTCAAATTAACTGGACAGAGTCCAAAAGAAGTTAATAATGCAGTGGCTATTGATCAGATCATGGAGCACAGGTAGGATGTCAAAAAAGCACAGGGCTATATCTCTCAAGGTGTTAATTCTGATTATGTACTACCATATCAGCGTCCACTCCTACTGACCACATAGCAGATTTTCTCCATGATGATCTGTCCCTAACCTGGATGAAATGACCTGTAAGTCTTTCATAGCCTAGGGTGCTCCATATATTTTGGAGATATGCTAGAGTTCCCAGTTAAGCATGTTGGCTGGGAAAGAAGCTTATTCAGAATGAAGGGTTTGAATCACGGCCGCCTTTTTCAGGAACTCTTGCTTTATCATGCAATAATCAAAGCAAAAGCATTTACCTACCACAGGTTTGTTCTGACTTCTGCCAAATGACTGTTAAGCTGGGAATGCAGGAAAAATGGTGTGCAAACCTTTCTGGTTGCCATTGTTTGTTTGAGGGAGTGCTTGCCTCTTCAGTAGGCCAAAGCTGAAATGTTAAAACTGTTTTATGATGGAAAAGTAAGCTGAGAACTGTGGAGGGTTTTATTTATGGGTTCTGCAAATGCACTTAGGGGTGGCATGGTCTTCCATGCAGATGGGCATCTTTGATGAAGATGGTCTTCCCATCAAGGCGAAAATGAATTGATGGAAGTGGGAGGCTGTGGAATTAGCAGAATGCTTTAGAAAAACAGTTGAACTTTTTACCTGTCTACCCCAATGGCTCAAAGCATCTCTGCTTTTAAAGAGAACTAAATGAATAAGGTTAATCTATAGGGATCTTAGCTCCTTTAGAGACGGGCAAACCCCCCCCCCCACAAAACTTTGATCTCTTCTCTCTAAATGTCTTGTATAGAGGGTTTGGGGTTCTTTTTCTTTAGAAAATTCTTCCCGCTGCCCAGTTTCTCTTGTTGTAGACCAATTTGCCACCATGGAGCCTCAAAAGTTCTTCAATTAAAAGAATGTAAGGCTTTTTTTTTTTTTTTAAGGGAGACTTGTAACAGTTAGTGAATACCAGAGGAAAAGAACAGCCTTTTAACCAGCTTTTCCTAGCTTTGTTAGTCAGACTGCAGGCATGTAGGGCCAAGGTTAGAGTATTATGGGGAGGGGTGGGATGAGAGAGAAATTTCTAAATACTCTACAGGTGGTCTGTGGTCTACTTAGAATTGCTCCTGTTTAAAGCATTTTTGCAGACCAATTATATTCCAAAATTCTTCACTCACTCTAGCTGCTGCTTGAACGACAAAGCTGCTATGAACGAGACCTTTTTTTGTTTTGCTTTGCTTTGCTTAAATAAGCTTTAAGGTTCTGAGATCTTACCGTTCTTCTCTCTTGCTCTCTGTATACATATGCTTTAAATCCCAGTTCTGAAGTGCAGAACGCTTGCATTTTGCATTGTTTTGAATGCCTGGTGGTTGTATTGCAAGTTGCTGTGATAGAAAAAGCAGTTAGGTCAGCAGCTGACAGATAGACAGACCCTTGGTCGCCTGTCAGGAGCTAGGCTGCCCGTTTGCTCAATGGTACAGTTGCAAATTCTGCAAGGGAAATATGGAGTGGTAGAGAACACAGTACTGCCCTGGAGAAGGGAAGAAAAGGGAGCCCGTTGACCTCCAGATGTTGCTGAATTACAGAAGTTCAGAAAGATCTGAACTGTTTGCCAAGAAATGGTTCACTTTCCCCAGAAGTCTTAGCCAGTATGTCCAATGGTGAGGGGTGTTGGCAGTTAAATCTGTAATGTCTGGAAACCCTGATTTCACCATCGTTACTCTAAAATAGGAAATCAGTGAAGGGGGAAGTCTAGCTCTCTTAGAACGTGAACAAAATAGAATACTTTTCCTTTTCCACCTGAGAAAAGGATTTCTTGTCACGAAAACCCCCCTGCAGTACTGAAGGAGAACTCAAATTGGGAAGTAAACTTCCTCCTGTTCTTTCCAAGATGACTTTTTGTGTTTATTTCCTTTTATCTCTTTTGTGATTTCAGCTGTTGGAGCAGGACAAAACCTGCTACAGTAAAATCCATAGAATCAGCAAAAGGCAAGTCAGATGGGGGTGAGGCTGTTTTGACTTGTCAAGACAATACTTAGCCTAGGGGTTGTTTTATAGCAAATTCAAACTACTTTGCCAAAAAATTATTTCCAATATTTCTAGTGCACAGTACAGAATTATGTAAGAGGCCCAGTGGCTGCATAAAGATATTGGAAAATAACATTTTTAGACAAATCCTGAAATGTCCATAAATGTAGTTCCTGGAGTGGCCATTGTGTTTGTGTGTGTGAATTTATCCCCACCCCCACCCCGGGTAGAGAAAGAAGCAATACAAGTGAAACCCTAGGAAGAGTTGTTACGGAGTACCATAAATTCCTGACAGTAACAGAATAGATAAAATTAAGCTCTACACAAAAATGATGTTACTCAAAAGTAATTGGTCTGGATCATTGGGTATGAAAAGTTCAAATAGCATTACAAGAAGCAAATAGCTACTTAAAAATCCAGTGTTTGGAAGTACAACTGTACATAGTAGGAAAAGCACACTTTGAAAAGTTAGGGATGACTGCCACCTATTGGCCAAAGAGTAAATTAACAATTCTAAGCAATCTAGAATTTACTCCCACCCTCCCTTTAATAGTTTAATTGTACTAATTAAAACTATACACACTTTTCTTTGATGGGAACATTGGAGATGTTTGGCTTAGAGTCATTTAGAAATTTGGTGACTGTTGTACTTAGCATCTTGGTATGAAGACAAACATCTGGGCTTTACTTTTGTGCAAAAGAAATTTCCTACATTTATGCCATTTTAGTGTAGGAGACTGTTGGCAGTAGTACGTAATCTCTTCTGATTATTCTGCCTTGGTGTATTTTACAATGCACAGGTGCTAGACCCCGCTATGGAGTCACAAAGTCTGCATTTGCCAACTGTATTGGTGTAAATTTTATAACACAATCTCTGGGGAGGATTTTGCATACCACCATGAAGCAGTTCTGTACTTTATGCATGCGATAGGGTTTATATGTAGGTAACTGCGTAAAGGGTTGTATCTAGAACAATCTTCCCCAGACTTCTTTTGAGTTCAACTCCCATAATGTCAGGCAATATAGGCCAAGGATGTTCTATCAGAAAAGTGTACAAACTGTGGCCCAATACATATAGAGGACAAGAGTTTGGGGAAGGCTGTCTTTAGGAGAGAAGTGAGGATTTCTTGGTGCTCCAGATATTGCAACACTCACAATGTCCCTCACCACTGGCCATGTGGCTAGATCTCCTAAAAGCTGAAGTTCAACATCTGGAGGACTACAGTTTCCGTACTCTTGATTTAAGACTGCAATGTAAACAAAACCAGTTCTACAGTCGTTATAGGAGAATTTTGGCATTGTACTAATTGATAGAGAGCCAACTTGGTGTAATGCTTAAGGTACCAGGCTAGAAACTGGGAGACCATGAGTTCTAGTCCCACCTTAGAACTCCCTCTCTCTCGGCCCTAGGAAGCAAGCAATGGCAAATCACTTCTGGAAAACTTTGAAAACTGCAAGGACTTGTCCAGGTAGTCATAGGAGTTGAAACGCTGACTCAAAGGCACACACACACACACACACACAAAGTAGCAAATATTGAATAGTTTATCAAACTTTTCAGCTTGCTGGTTTTGTATCTATGCACTTTCTCTAGAGATTAAAGTAGAGCGCCTACCATATTTTCATCTTCAAACTTCAAGGAACACTTCTTGACAAAAGTGTGCTAGAGACAGACAAAATCTGCAGATGTTCTTCCCAGAAGAGCTGCCCCTTACGTTGAATGAAGAATTTGCTTATTGAAATTTTGGCTCAGTTGCCAACATTCACTGGCCTTGGCTATATTCCTTAAATTCCAGTGGGCCTGGGATTTATGAAGAGCCTACTTTTAAGTAGGGACAACTGCAAATAGTAAAGCAATCTATAGACTTGGTGCAACCATGTGTTTTTTTGAACATGGGAAAATTCTTCATATTTATGGATCAAAAATATGCAGTCTCTGCCTTGAACCCATTTGCGGAACATGGCATCTCACGTGCGGATATTCTACTGAATGTTTAAACATTGGGAGGTTGCAATTTAAAATTTAAGAACTCATACCATGTCCATTTAGTAAAGTTTACAGATAGCAGCTTTATGAAGTAACACCTTGATGACCTTTCTTTTTACCCTTCCAACCAATAGCATCCTGATTTCCAGGATGCATGACATTACCTCACTTTCAAACAGTTTGTAATCCAGAAAGTTCTTAATTCTTTGTCAAAGTGTGTGTGTGTGTGTTGGGGCTCAGAATAATGGGACTCGTGGCTTTATGTTTGGAGGGTATCAGGTTGGAGGAGGCTAATCTGCATGAATAGCAAACTTGTCTTTGGTACACCCTCTGCGCATAAGAAGGAAGCATCAACTCTGGATCTGTCCATTTTGCTGCTAACTCTTGCAGGGGTGTGTGTCTCTTTTCACCTTGCTAAATAATCCCCGTTCCCCCCCGCCCCCGCCCAAGAGTTACCAAAGAAAAAGATGGAACTAGAGGTGATGATGGAATAAAAAATTGCTTCCATCTGAGCTGGAGGGCTCCCTTTTCCAACACTGAGGTTCCAAATTAAAAAGGAACGCTGTAGCTCCTCAGAGTCCCAGACATGGCAGTCTGTTTTGCAGCTGATAAGGGACAAAAAATTGTTTGTGGTGCCCTCTGCTGGCAGAAGAAATAAAATGGACTTTTTAGATATTTTGACCATATTTCTTTTTAATATTTATTAAGAGCTTTTTCATGGAATGAAAGACAAATCAAAAGAAAAAAATAGAAATACAAAAAATGAAAAAGAAAATAAACTAAAGTTAAGGAATATATGAATGACTTCCAACCTTTTCAACAGATAATTACAATCTTATTATCCCTCCTCTCTCTTAGATATTATTCAAGTCCCTTCAGCCCCTCATTTAATCCACATCTTTATTAATATTTTGACCATCTTTCAACCATATTCCAAAGCCATTTAACTTAACATTTTCCTAAATTATTAATTTATCTTCCTGCATATTTTCAAAATAAGGCACAATGGATTAAAAAGATATATAGAACTATTAGAACTAGTAGCAATAATATTGAAAAAAAATGCCTACAGAGCTTAGCATTTGGTGAAGCATATTTATCTTTGCTGTCTTTGCTTTGAAGGCCACAATTACTCCCAAGGATGTTTAAACATGAAACCATGACTTTTTTTGCTAACTCAGATTCAGTCAGCCCACTGTGAAAAGATTACATTGCTAGGTGTGGTCTCAGCTCTTCATCTTGGAATCATTCAAATATTTAATAAAAGTTCACTTAAAGCACACAGGATTACTGCAAGCTTGCGCCAACCCCCATCCCACATAGCAAGTATTCCAAATAAAAAAGTCTTGTCCCAAAAGCTGAAGTTAAGAACAAAGCACAGCACGTCAATGAATGCAGATGGAGTCCCAGAACCAGCATTTTTCCTCATAATACACAGAAATATTTTAACTATATCACTCGGTATGTCTTTCAGTTTCCAGCCCCACCATCGTCAGCCATCGATATGCCAATGGAAGTAGGGCTGGCATAAGTGATGCATTAAATTTGGGTCAGCTTGTAGTAGGTAAAGCACCTGATACAATGAATGTAGTAAGTCCGGTTTTACACTGATGAGTTCACTTAAGCTGAATTGGCAGTGTTTACAGCAGGGGTATGGTCAAAAAAGTCAAGATGGCAGCTACAGTAGTGTGACCAAAACTCCACCCACTTTTTATGTGTATGATGTGGACACCCCAGGGTTTCAGCATGAAAAGTTTCTTTAATTGAATGGGACTGTCCATTTCAATTTCCCACAATGTTCCAAACAACTCAATGAAATATTACTCTGGAACAATACAGGACATTAAAATCAAGAGTTTCACACAGAATATCTGATGGAAGGAAGGAAGGAAGGAAGGAAGGAAGGAAGGAAGGAAGGAAGGAAGGAAGGAAGGAAGGAAGGAAGGAAGGAAGGAAGGAAGGAAGGAAGGATTTTGATACCACAGTAGTTGTAAGGGAGACCTACAAGGATTCAACATGGGGATGTCATTCTAGAATATAATGTGCTCTTCCACTTTAACTTTTCCATGCTGTGTTTTTGCTGCTGTTCAGGAGATTTTAATAGATAGGAAAATGCAAACGCAACTTAAGGGCCATGCTTATAAAATATTGTGGTTATTTAATATCCTGCAGCAGATCTGTTGGCAGAGGGTGGTGGTCAAAAGAGTCAAGACGACAGCTGTGACCGCGTAACCAAAGCCCAAATGTACATTGCACATCAAAAAGGACAGAGCTGCCATCACACAAACACCGTCTTGATTTTTTTTATTGTTCCCCACCTCGCAGATGCCTCTGTCCTGAGTATGTCTGTCAATATCTAGTGATATCCAGGGCTTAGTTACAGCTTCCATAGCAATTAAAAGGACAGAAAGCTGAAAACTGAGCCACTATGAAGGTTCTACCCCATATTAAGAAAGCAACCAAGGATGCACTCTATGTTTTAGTTATTGAGAAGATCCTTGCTTTCAGGCTGAGAAATCCTCTGAAACATTGAGAAGGCTGTGGGTTGTTGTGCTGTTGCTTCGGTACATGTCATTATGCAAGCTCATTAGCAAAAAAATTCTGAATTTTAGTCCATTCTGAATTATTTCTCACATTGCAGCCTTACTTGTGTTGTTTTCAACCTGCAAGCTCTTCCAAGTCCTCTAGAGAGCAGTATTTCCTTTTATGGGGTGAGTAACACCATTGTTTCAGTAGCCACACGAAATGGAATTGGAGGATTCGGATTCACTGAATTGAAGCAAAAGTGTCTGAACACTCCCTGGGGAGAAGGAGATTAGAAGGAAAATCGTGCATGGTCTTGACTCTAGTGAGAGAGGAAATTAATGATACCAAGCTGCCAGAAGACAAAGATTTCCAGTCATACTCTGTTTAGAAAGCCATACTAAATAGTATGAAGAGGATTGAACATGGCTGTGTAAATCACTAAGGCATTCACTACTTAAAATTCCAGCCAGAACTGCCCACTTCCAACCACAGTTTTCACAACTTTTATGGACTCCAGCTGAATCTCACATTTATTACCATAGTCTTCCTTAGAGGTACACAGATAGGTCTACCTTCTACAGATTTAAAGTGGAAAAAAGAGGTCATTTTTTTTTTCAGTGTTAAGATATATTTGAAATGAATATTTATATTCCACATTTCATGTGCACATGTTTTAATGATTTAGTGAATGAGGATGAAGGGATATCATATTTCCTTTTTCTAAAAAAGCTATTGACAAGTATAGTTTTACACTGGGAAATCTCTCACTCAAAGCTTACCCATTTATGCACTTACAATTAATTCTTGATAATTAACCTCAACAATATTATGATCACTTTTCAACCAGTGTTGGTAAATCATGATGCCTAGAAACCGTTTTTTACTAACCCAGATATGCGCAAAGCTAGCTTTTCCGAGAATGTTCAGTTCTCCCAAGAAATAGATGTCTGCAATGTCAAAAGGCATAAGTTATCTGTTGTGTCCTTGTTATACTCCCCCTTAATTGCTGACTTCTTTGCAGATAGAATTGGCTGAAGATATCTACACGAAGGCTTTCTGTCTGATTTAGAGGTCTAATCATTTGGAGTCCTAAATCACAGGCTAAGTATGATACTTTCAAACTTGGTTCCCCTCTTCAACCTATCCTTTTCATCACATAACGGAAGACCAGACTTTTGTTATTCACCTTTCCACACTTGTCAGCTTTTCCAAAAACCAGATGCCTCTACTGGATAAGTGAATTTTCTTAAACAAAGCATCTGAAGGGGAAGGATAATGACATGTGTATCCATAAAGATGGCTCCCCTGATCAGTCCTCCCTCTCCAATCATCTAAGACAGTGTTTCTCAACCGTAGCAACTTAAAGATGTGTGGACTTCAACTCCCAGAATTCTCCAGCCAGCATGCTGGCTGGGGAATTCTGG